ATCGCTGGGTAGAGCATCTCACTCTTCAATTCAACCACCCAACACAGCCCCTGTGACACCTCCAGCCCCAATGGATGATGCTTGGCCTGTCTCCACCCCCCCCCCCTCCAAATGAAGCAGAGATCCGAAATGCAATCCGATCTTTGAAAGGCCACAAGGCTCCGGGTCTCGACAGCCTACCACCGGCTCTATTCAAATATGGTGGGAGTGTACTTGTCAGCGAAATCTTATCGCTGTTCAGGAAAGTTTGTACTGAGCAGAAGGTTCCTAACTCATGGTGTGAATCGGTCAATGTTCCGATTCACAAGAAGGGCTCCCGCGACGATTGCTGTAACTACCGCGGAATCTCGTCAATCTCTGTCGCATCCAAAATCTTCGTGTCGGTCCTACTTCGCAGGCTTTCAACAACTAGAGAGTTTTCCCGAGAACAAGTCGGATTTCGTAAAGAGCACGGTTGCATCGACCAAATCCTCACGCTCCGTCAACCCCTGAATTTCGTCACATCCACCGGCGGCCAACAACCGTAGTGTTCTTAGACATCCGAGCGGCATTTGATTCAGTAGATAGATCTGCGCTGTGGAATTTTTTACTGAAGAAAGGTGTGCCCGAGAAGTTTCTAACCATCCTGAAAGAACTTTACAGTCATACGTCGGGCAGTCAGGGCTTACGGCACGCACTCTTCTTCATTTGCTGTGACCAGCGGTGTATGTCAAGGTTGTCCTATTTCACCTTTCCTCTTCAATTTCGCCATCAAAGATGTGCAAAGAGCACTGGAAAGTGTCCAGAACTGCAGTGCTGAGCTCATCCCTGGAGACAGAATCACTGACGTGGACTGCGTCGATGATATTGCCTTGCTGAGGGACGATCCACAAATCGTCCAGAGCGCTTTGGACCGCCTAGTGATAGAGGGGTTATGCTTCACTTCGGGAAAATGTAAAACGCTGCTCCAGGACTGGCAGGTGCCTGAACCCGCGCGCACTATTGGCGGACATGTTCTGGAGCAAGTCGCTTGCTTTACTTATCTAGGGAGTTGCATCGCGGCTGGTGGCGGTGTTGGAGATGAAGTCTCACAACGGATTGCAAAGGCCCGCCTTGCATTCATCAAAGTGAGACACATATGGTGTCGTTGTGATGTCAGTCTCAAACTCAAGGACAGAGTGTACAATGCTTCCGTCCGTGCAGTACTCTTGTACGGCTGTGACACTTGGCCTATTCGCTCGGAAGACATGAAGCGGCTGTCAGTCTTCGACAATCGCTGTCTACGAAGGATTGCTCGGGTGTGGTGGAAACACCACGTAAGCAACGCAGAGGTGTGAGACCGCGTGCTTGGAGCGAATAGTGCCAGTCTTCAGGACGTTATTCTCCGACATTGCATGCGTTGGCTCGGGCACGTTTTGCGCATGCCAGCCCATCGCCTTCTACGTCGAGCGCTATTTGCACTTCCAGGGAGCGATTGGAAAAGGTGCCGCAGTAGACAGCCAATGGTGTAAAGAAGGAGCATGAAGAAGACGACCTCAAGTTTGGCGACAGTCGGACCAGTCCGTCTTCCAGGATGAGGACCACGAGATGCTGAATCGCAGTGGTTGGAAACATTGGACATCATGGCGTCAATGTTGTTCTGCCATTATATCCCCTTTTAGTACACAGGAAGAATTCACAAAACAAAAATATTCAAAATGGCGTGTGTAAAACTAGAAAAAGCGTTTCCCATTTTTAATCGCAGTTCGTGTTCCTATCTTCTTCACTTTTTCTGCCATGGTTCTGATGGCACAATGTCTGTTAGCAGACTGTGAATATATATATATATATATATATATATATATATATATATATGATGGTGAAGAGAGGGCGTGATGAAGTTGCCCGATTTGGTCGGTGCATATCCACCTCGACGCCGACCGAAGGGTCAGTGACACTGGTGGTTACGAACTTCTCTTTACAGCACGCAGTCATATAACTAGTGGTGCTTATGCATCAGTCGAAGTATGTAGAGGTTACCTTTTTACGCAAAACTCACTGCTGAATCCGTTTCTTGCAAATGCACGATGTTCTACTTCAATAGCTTCATCGCTGCCAAATTTCTTATTCTAAATGGAGACTAAGGCGACCGGTTTAACCAAAAGTCGGATATTAGACTTTAACTGATTAGCATAAACAAACCGGACCGGTATTGGTAACGTCGACACGAGATGAGCCTGTGTTCAATCCTCGCTTTGAAGTACAACAAATTGAAAATTTAGAGTGTACATGACAAAGGAGAACAGCAACATGTGGTAATTAGTATCTCTGAAAGTAAACGGACGTTAAAAACATGGGTCAAAAACACAAAAGGTACACGGTACATCAGGCATCCAAACCCACTACGTTTGCTCTCCCCCTTACATGTGTTTGGGATCAACTGAGATTATCAAGAGTTGGGGGAATCAGTGACAAGGACGTTATGGTGGAAGAAATAATTTCTGGAATCAATACACAATGCTGACTGAGAAAAAGCAGGGTTTCTAGCTGTCAAGCTGAGGAGGAGTGCTGTAGAGGAAGGCGAATGGTGAAAAGTGAGACAGCTTCTACCATTTTATAAGTAATTAGATTAGAACCAAGCTACAGATAAAAGTTCACAGCTTCGCTTAGGTATGTGGGCAAAAAGTTAATGGAAAAAGAGATCACAAAAAGAGAAAATAGAAGAAATGAATGAACAGGAGTCATCATTTTGTACAGCTTAGGCATGTAAAACACACGTTGCTGTCATCAAATCAAATAAGTGGAAAAGCATCCAATGAATTCATGACCAGCCTGCCGAAGGCAGAAGTCAACAGTTACAGGAGGAAGACTCGTGGCCGACCGGTTCTGAGTTTTCAAGTGACAAACCTCTATGAGGGTGTAACGACTGGAATTCAGGATCCTGGAGAATCTGAAAAAATGTACACGCGATATATGATACTCAATGACACGTGAATAATCTGAAAGTCGTTTGTCAGACAACCGGTTATATGAGGTTGCCAGAGGCACAACAAAGAATGGCTCTTGGTAATAATGTAGCCGAACTGTGAGCAGATGACTAAAATGACCCCAAAGTTCCTGGGATAAAAGCAATGATAGTAAGGAAAGAGACGGTCATGTTCTCGATGCGCAGCCACTATAGCATCGATCTCTGATCAACAATATGATAGAGGCAGCCAAATGATAACATGTGACAAAATGAAGCGTGCAAGTCATTAGGGGGTTGTTTTAATTCAATCAGACGGGAAAAAAATCGAACCCAAGAAGGAAGTAAGAAGTAAAGGTAGTTAACCACACACAAGCCGATTATGGTAGTAAGGTGAATCCAGATGTTATTTCCCAAGTAACCAAGAGAATTAAGAACAGTGGATGAACACAAATATGATGCAAAGAAAAATAGTCCCAACTGTAAGTAGGACGGTAGATAGCTAAAAGCATTAGACCGACTGCGTGAAGGTCGTCTGTCACCTGGATGTACCAGTGACCGACGTCCAGGTCACCGCCCAGTAGGAAATTTACCAATCAAGGCAATTCGTCTGATTAAACTCGTCATATTCCTTCGCTACATCATCGACCGGTGGTACTGTGGCTCCACGCACCGGTGCAGACCATCGGAAAACAACACATGCCAAATTGGACTGTAGATAGGCATATAAAAATCCACTGGAAACGAATGTAGCTTGTTTAAGTACACCACAGTACCTAGTGCGGCACCAGCAGTTGGAATTAGTATCGCTTTCTCAGTGCTTCTATCAAGTACAAGCAGTGCCCTTAGAGCACCGGTGATGGAACATGAGCTGTTGATCAGTATCCCCGGTAGACAGTAGTCGCTTCTGACGAGTACGCTAACACAGGACGCAATGCAGAAAATAGCTAGCATTAATGAACTAGAAACGTAGATGAGTTCATTAGAATGGGAAAGAAAATGAATTGTTTGATATTTGTATGGAGGAATAACGCAACAGTTGTGACATTATGCGCATAAGTAAGATAGAGCTGGTTAGTTACGGAAGTCAACTGAAAAGCATAAGGGACAACAGGATCTGTGTGGTCAGTAGATGAAGCTGCACAAAAAGAAGGAGCGACGTCAGCATCTACAAGCCTAATTAAGGCGCCAATTGAGTCTGTGAGACAACCATCGGTACGTTGCTGTTTGCTTACGACTGTGCGTTGTTTGCACACAGCGCGGATGAGTTGCAACATATGACTAGTGCTCTGGCTTCGACAGCGGACAGATTCGGCCTCAACAACAACACAAGCAAAATTGTCTGTCACTTTCAGCCTTCACCGGAGGTGCAATTTCAATATTGCCGAGAATCAGCATTGGTGCTGAAGTATTGGAAACCGCCTCCCACTTCCGTTATCTTGGGAGTGTGATGTCAACTGACCAGCAGCCATACAGTGAGCTGCGTATCCGCGTCTCGAAGGCAGCGCCGGCATTCCGGAAGCTAGAGTACCGAGTGTAGAACAACCATCAGCTTACCATTGGCACGAAGCTGATGGTGTTTAAAAACCCATGATGATGTCCGATCTCCTATACGATAGTGAAAGGTGGACGGTGTACTAGCGGGATGTGCAACAACTCGAGCGATTCCATCAACAGTCGCTGCGAAGGATTCTGCGCATCGAATGGGGCACGGAAGTATTGCGTCGAAGTGGAATGTATGTAGTGGACCGAGGCGTATGGATTCGACGCGGAAAACGGAAAAACTATTATATGGTCAGCTGAGTATGAGGAAGCGGCATAACGGAAAACCAGTAACGTTAGCAGGACAAGAACGAAGTGAGCCTCCCACGTTCTAATCTTGATTGTAGACCAGTACGGGTACTTAGAGTATTGCCTATACCGGATTGACTGGCGTTTGAATATGTATTATCTCCGGATAGGCACAATGTGAGATTGATGCCAGTGTCGCAGAAAGGAGATCGTAGAGCAAGTACAACTGCAGTTTTGCAGTCAGTTTTTCGTTAAGTAGCAGGTATCTGTCGATAGAGTCTCTAGTGTTCGGGTAAACGTTGCCTGTTAACGGATTGCAAAAAATTGCGCAACTTGAGACATACCAGTCTTAGTGAGGATCGAAGGCTCTAAATAGAAGCAGATGAACTGAGGTTGTCCGCTTAGTTGAACAGGGTACTTTCTTGTGGATTTACGGGCACATTGGAATTATTTTGTGTCAATTTTGTCATCAGTTTCATTTCAGGCCCATATCTCTCCGCAGATTTTGGCGTTCCGCATTGCACTTTCGGCCTTACCATTTTGCGTTACTGTTACGCCACGTTTCCATAATGTCGAAGACATCACTTTGTAGTTCCTGTTCGAATATCGTTGGACACATGATAAATGCTCTTACTTGCTTTGATTGCTGCGCCAGATTTCATACTCGGTGTGTTGGACTACCTGACGATTAATGTTGTCTTGTGTTCCACCCAACATGATTGCATCCCAATTTTGTGCAACATTTGTCGTCGTCTATGGCAGCCAGAGAAATGTATAACGTCTACGGATGCAGATCGCGGCCAGGAATGTTTGACTGTGGCCACTTTAGACATGTTGTCACGCAAACTGGTCAAGATTCCATCCGACGTTCAACCCAGCCTTCCTCCCATTCTCTCTGACACTTCACTACCTCGTCATCCTAATTTCTCCAGAAGCATGACACCAACATAGATTAGGTCTACAGTTCCAGTCGTTGAGGGGCCATGGAACACTCAGCGATGGAAGAAGCCGCGAAACGAAGAGAAGTTTCCCGCTGTGATCAACAGCTGGTCAAGTCCATCGATCCAGGTCCACAGGCATGTTATGATCATGACGTAGAGTTTTTGCAGAGTCTGGTTGATAGGCTCTTCGATGTGGGTGAAGACGGAGTAAAAGTGTGTCAAGTCATCCGCCTTGGCAAAGCACTGCTGAGAAGGATCAACCTATGCGGGCAACTTTAGCCGGAGAAACCAGCCCGGAGCTAAAATTGTCTCGGCTGAGTAGACAGAGAAGAGAAAGTGCATATTCATCCGGATATCTATCCAACTGACCGAGAGCGCTTCAAGCGCGTCATCATTGAGCTAAAGCGGCGAGCTGTTGAAACATACCAACGTATTGCAACTTTTCTGATGGTTACAACACGAACGCGAATTCGGATAAATCGGTCGCTCACTCTTCAAGCACACCTGGTAGTTCCTATTGTGGCCTACATATAGCCTTTACGGACGGCTGCAGTCTTATGTATGAACGCGATGAGCTGTGTCGCTTCGTTGCTTTCGAGCGACCAGACGTAAGGGGACTCGCAGAGACGCAGTTGAATGATGATGCACTCACCAAGCAGATTGAACCTAATAGCTACTCGTGCTTCCTCTGTGATATGCTATCGAATGTTCGCGGTGGCATCTTGTTCTACATCCGATTTTCTCTGTGTGGGAGACTTGTGAGCGCCCACTGAAGCGAAGATAGCCCGTATGAGCAGTAATCGTGCCCGATCTATCTCAGGCGAAAAGAGCTGCTCGTGGGTGCATTTCGTCGCAGTCCCCTTAGCCGTTGTTTAGACTGGCTACCGTTTCTCCGGGACCGCATTAGTCGCTCCCACTTTCTACTCATAGGTAATTCCTGTTATCCTCGAATACGCTGACCCGAAGTTCACCGGAGATTGTGACGCCGAAGCAAAATTCGCTGAAATGGTACTTGGAATTTGGGAGTGCCTGAGAATTACGTTAACATTCTTCGAGCCATCTTCTTTCGTATCCTGGGCCGAGTGCGAATGTACGGCGAACTTTCGCACTTCTTTAGTATCACCACTGGCTTGAGACATGGTGGCCCAGCTATAGATGACATCCTAGAGAGCGCTTTGGAGAACTGCAGACCCAGCGGTGTTGAGCTGCTTCCGGGAGACCGACTTCGGGATTTGGAGTATGCAGACAATGTCGCCATAATGTGCGACTCCTCACAGGCCGCTCAAAATGTGCTTTGCAGGTTGGAGATGTCTGTCTCCCAGTATGGACTTATCTTTGCTCCCTCGAAGTGTAAGGTCTTTGGACAGGACTGGCTAGGAGCTGCTCTCACCCTTGCCCTTTCAGGTCATTCTTTGGAAGTGGTAGACAACTTCGTTTACCTTAGAAGTTGCATCTGCGCTAACGGTCTAACGGATGAGGTCTCTTTGCGCGTCTCTAAAGCCCGGGTTGCGTTTGCTGATCCCGCCATCTCTGGCGTCGACGCGACTTGAGTCTATCTTTGAAGAGCTGAGTCTACAATGTCACGGTGAGAGCGATTCAGCTCTACGGTTGCGTGACTTGGCATGTTCGTGCAAAAGACGTGCAGAGACTGTCTGTCTTTGATCATGGATGCCTCCGGAGCATTACTGGCTTGCGGTGGCAACATCACATTAGTGATGGTGTTCTCCGAAGGATTTTTACACCAGACTGCCGGTCGCTGTGCCGCATAATTTCACCGCACAGGCTTCGGTGGCTTGGGTACGTGCTTCGTATGCCTACTGAGCCTTCGCTTCACAGTGCACTTTACTCACGCAGAAGTCGGTTGGAAGCGAAGACAAGATGGTCAAAGAATGACTTGGGCCAAAAGTATTAACGTGCTGACCACACATTTAGCCGCGATCGGGCGCCCTCGACTATATGGTTGGGGGTGCAAGGATCACGAGCCCAAATGGTTGGAAACCCCATCGGACATGTCAAGAAATCATGAGCAATGGCGCTTCAGTGGGCGCTCACAAGTCTCCCACACAGAGAAAATCGGATAAAGAACAAGATGCCACCGCGAACATTCGATAGCCTATCACAGCGGAAGCACGAGTAGCTATTAGGTTCAATCTGCTTGGTGAGTGCATCATCATTCAACTACGTCTCTGCGAGTCCCCTTACGTCTGGTCGCTCGAAAGCAACGAAGCGACACAGCTCATCGCGTTCATACATAAGACTGCAGCCGTCCGTAAAGGCTATATGTAGGCCACAATAGGAACTACCAGGTGTGCTTGAAGAGTGAGCGACCGATTTATCCGAATTCGCGTTCGTGTTGTAACCATCAGAAAAGTTGCAATACGTTGGTATAGGCAATACTCTAAGTACCCGGACTGCGCTAGCTTTGATCGACTGGAGTTTAATCAGTGGCCGGATGTGAGCTGTCAGATTGCCTGGCTCGTTCGAAGTCTTGAACTCGCAAGGGAACAACTGATGTTTAGTTCTTTTTGTCGGCTACATACCACGAACTGTAGTACTGATCGTGTGAAGGTTTCTAGCGTCAAACGAACGATCAATTTTGCCAGAGAAGAATACAGATATTGCGGTGCTGCATGGAGGTCTGAACACGCAACTTTGGAAAATGTTCAGTGATGAGCCCCATTTGAGCAGTTTGCGGCGGGTGATTGCTATATTTGTGCGAAAAGGTTCGTCCGTTTCTCGTGAACACTAAGTTCCGATATGGCAACTACCGGACAACCAACCTCGGACCAGCTGCGGACGCAGATTGATCACATCAAAAACTGTCGTTCGAGCAGGAGCACAAAAGTGAATCCAACCATGCACTTGTATGTATTGATCTACGGCTGCCTTCCAACAGACACCCGCAATGACGCTGTAAGCACACAGATGCATGCTGACCAACAGATCTAGAAGTTCAGAATGCAGATCAAATTACGCTGGCATCCGAGCTGAGTGAGAGCTCACTAAACACTGGTTGAATGTTCACCAGTCGTTAGTAGTAACAGATGTCTTCGTGCGACAAAGCCAACTGAAAACAAGGGTAATGGGTATCAACGCAGTCACTGGAATTTCCCGATGCTCACACATTCTAGCTGGAAGCGAATATGGAAAGTACAAAAATCCCATAGCAAAGTTCAGCTCGGATTTGAAGAGAGACTGCAATCCTGGTGATCTCCAGGTAGGTCAGAGGGGGAGACAGTTACTATCCTTAGCAACCACCTCTACAAGTGAAGCACACCAAAGCTGCGGTATTTCGCTATTTCTCTGCTGCATGGCACTATCAGAATGGAAGCACTACAAAGTGATCAGCTAATAAATTTAAAGTATTCAAACGATATGAATCTGTTGGGATGACAAGCCAGCATAAGACAAGCGCTGTTGAACGAATAGTAGGTTCCGGGATAAGAAAGAACCAGTGAACAACAAGTAGCAATGTTGGAGATAAGACGAAATACTGTTAGCTCGGGTTGCGTGTTCAGTTTCTGCCGTGTATGAAGGACGTATCAAAAAAGATGGCCAGATTGATTAAATCGCACCCTATCATGGTGGCCCACAAGTCAGCCGTCCCTTGGAGAACATTGTCAAAACCAAAAAGAAAACAATAACCGCGAGAACAGGAAAATGCTGTGCATAAAATAAATTGCGGAAATTGTGACAGGTACTACATAGAATGTACAGAGGAAAATTATCAACAAAGATAAAGTAACACAAAAGAGTATGAGAAAAAAATTAGTCTCAGCACACGTGGATGAATAGCACAGCTTCGACTGGAACAAAGTAGAAAGCCCAACCCAAGCAGGAACACAAAATATTAATCAACATGCGCATCGACGTCGATCCTGTATACCAATACGTACATCTCGAAAGCATATGATCTGTTAGCCAGACAATGAGCAGGATAATCAACGTGAATCGAAATGCTGTCTATATACTTGCGATACCAATCCAAGTGCCACAGGCAAACGCACGTTGCAGCAACATTTTGGCGGCCTATGGTGGTTGTCCAGGCGTAGATGCGAAGCACAAGGAAGAAACAGTCAGAAGAAGTCAAATGTGATGACGTCAAAAGCCTACATAGGGAGTGGGGAAGTGGCTGCTGATGTTCATACCCGGGTTTGTATTCCACCAGCTTCTGATAAGAAGCCGCTTACTCATAGGCATTTTCGCCAGATCACACTAGCAGAAGGCAAATCCACTTGCCAACGTGGACATTGCGTCCCTTCGCAGTCTCTGGAACTCATCGATGCTCGCCGACACATTCCGGCTGGAAGCAAACACGGCGAGACTCGCAGAAACCTCCGTGCTAGCCTGAACGGACCACGAATCTTGGTAGTCTCACCGTGCGTCAAACATGGAAATAGCCACTGCCTTAAGTAACCATCGAAATTTATTCCGTCTGATACGGGAGACGGGTAGCAAGATACCTGGTGTTAGTGAAACTATTTATGACGAAACTGGGCAGCTTACCCACTTGTCAAAAGGCTTGGAACATTGGGCAATTTAATCGGTCGGAATTGTCAGATTTCTCATCGACCACTGATCGCCCTACTCCCTGGGTTGTCCCTTTCGATCGGCCCTCTAGCTCAGAAGTCGAACATGAGATTGGACTGCTAAAATTAACTAAAGCCGCGGAAGCAGATGCTCTTCATCCAGCCCTCTTCAGATGCGGGGACTCTGCTCTTGTGGATGATCTACACAAGTTACTAGTGAAATTGTGAGAGCAAGAAACTGTCCCAACCGACTGGAGACGCTCCTTCGTAGTCCTAAGTTTCAAGGGGGCTCACGATCGGAATGCGGCAACCATAAAGAAATCTGCCTGATCTTCATTGCCTCCGAATTGTATGCCTTTTTCATCATTCACGGATTGACTGACACTCGTGAAAGCCAGATGCGTGAGGATCAAGCAGGGTTTCGTCGAGATCGAGGATGCATTGGTCACATCTTGACTTTGCGTCAGTTCTTGGAGCAGCATCACATATATTGGCGACCCACCTTTGTTCTGTTCATTGACATCAAAGGTGCCTTCAATTCGGTGGATCGATGTGCCCATTGGAACTGTCTGATAAGGAGAGGTGTTCCCGAGAAATAGGTAGATACTATCTGAGCGCTTTATGCGCGTAGCTCGGGCAGAGTGAGGGCTTGTGGCAAGTTATCACCGCCCTTCAATATATCTAGAGGTGTGAGACAAGGATATCCGCTATGCCCTTTCCGCTTCAAGTTCGCTATCGATGAAGACATGGAGACCGGGTTCACAGGACACGACTTAGAAGATGTGGAGCTGCTCCCAAGCGAACGGCTTCTTGACTTGGGATATGCTGACGATATTGCCTTCATCTGTGACAGCTCCCAAAGGTGCCACGCGGCACTTGAAAGATTAGAGCTGGCTGTCAGCCGCTTCGGGCCATGGTTTTCACCCTCGAAGTGCAAAGTTTCCTTCCAAGATTGGCAGAGACCGCCTCCTGCGCTGACCTTAGGTGGGGATCAGCTAGAAGTCGTCCAAAAGTTCAACTACCTGGGAAGTTGTATCAGCGCATTTGGGATTGAAGACGAGATCACGAAGCGTATAGAAAAAGCTCGAGGAGCTAGGGCGCCGGCGCGACATTACTCTCTCCCCGAAGGGTAGAGTGTACAATGCTACCGTCCGTTCAACTCTCATTTACGGTTGCGAAACCTGGGCCATTAGATCAAGACATAAGGAGGCTAGTTACGTTCGACCACCGCTGCTTTCGCAATTTGGCTAACATCTGGTGGGAACACCGAGTGAGAAACGAGCGTGTTCGACGCCTTGTTTATGGCACAGGATAAGGAAATGGATCGATCAACACTGTTATTTCACGCATCAGGCTCCGATGGCTTGGCAACGTGTTACGCATGCCAGCCCACCGACTCCCGCGACGTGCGTTGTTTGCGCGCCGGGGGTGTGGATGGAAGAAGAGGAGAGGTGGCCAAGCAATGAAGATCCTTACTTCGACGTTGGCCTCGGTTGGATACTCTGGGCTCCATGGTTCGGGACTGAAAGACGTTGAAAATGTTTGGCTGGATACACTTGCGGACATAGCAAGGAGCCGACCTAAATGACGTTGTTGTGCGTTTTTTTGTGCCTCCACTTCAACCGCGATCTTATTTCTTAGCATAATATACATTTTGTATAATAAAATTTTTTTTGCTGCATAGTAGCAGGCTGGTAGCTTTCCGTTACTAGTAGCTAAGCTGGCGTGCAACTGTTGCATGCTCCTTTTTCTTATGTATTGCGGCACAATAGCTGAGGTGTTTTCCATCTCTAGCTACGGTGTATAATGAGGAATGATGACGCACTGATGATGTCACCCCGACTGGCGGTGAAATGTTTGCGAATAAATTGCTTAATTCGGAGAACATCACAGCAATTGAATGACAATGCTGGCCTGCCAAATCGATCCATTCAGTTATACACAACAACAAAAATTCAATACTAAAAAGCACTTACTTTTCGAGCTAGCTCAATGAAGGCATCATGAACGTTTTCACTTGTTTTGGCACTCGTTTCCAGAAAGATCATACCACTTTTCCTTGCGAATTCCGCCCCATCACGTTTGCTGACCTCTCTGTCAACCTTGTCAAATAAGTGAGAAGTGAAAGACGCCTTACCAAATCAACTTTGTTGCCAACCAGCATCATCATCAAAGAGTGGTTCGTAAATTGCTTGGCTTGCTCTACCCAATAGTGAACTGACTGCAAACTTTTGCTAGAGGTAATATCATATACTAACCGAATAGTATAACGGCTGTAAGTACAAAAATACGTACCAAAGAATGCGCCATTAGCACCACGATAAAAGGAAGGTGTAAGATAGCCACTGTATCGCTCAGCACCCGCTGTATCCTTTGGGACGATGTACGATGTTAGGGAGGACTTACCCAAATGTTAAACTGAACTGACTCCCCATCCACATCAATATTAAATGGCTTAAAATCAAATCCGATGGTCGCCGGTTCATCTGACAGGAAGTGATCCTCAACAAAGCGTCTAATGAGGCTAAATTTTTCTTCCGTTAAAGAGGTAAGCATCTAACCTTGATTTTCCGACCCCGGAATCGCCCAGAATTATCAGCTTGATACGCACGGTCGATGTGTCAGACATGCCGAGGGTGATAAAAGGAGTACTAAAAGTAGCAAACCAAGAGACCCAAGATGATAGAAAGTGATGAATGAATCTGGTAAGTAGTTAGCACCCAAAACAGAGATCACCCGTATGGTGTGTAAAATATTATCAAATTAAGAGGTCTATTTGTCGCATTTTGACCAGTTCTGTTCATATACACACTTCCAGGATACTGCCCCGTTTTGCTCCCGGACCAGTATATCTCCCCTTGCTAGCTAGCTTTTTCTCGGGTGCCCTTTTAGAGTAGTGAGCTTGTACCTTTCAGCAATAAATGTATACCATGGCAAGTTTTGTTTGCCTTTTTACTTCATCCATATGGTTGGCTAGTTTTCGAACAGAACGCCCGTCCATCAATTCCACTATAAGTGCAATCTGTTAATTATGATCCGTGCACCGAAGTGTGATAGATCCAGTCACCTTTATGCATATCGCTAATATCCGTTATTAGTAGTAAGATTGTAAGTATTATTATCCAGGGGAAAAGATCAAGAAATAAAGGACTGATAGTAAGGTTAAAAGTCCGAAACTAGGGAATGAATGCAGGAGTATCACCGAGTTCGTGATGGCGCTATGTACGACAAGGTAGTTATCAAGGTATATGATGTGCTTGACCGAACAACCGAGGGTGATTCCGGTTTAATAGGTGCTTCTATGAAGTCTTTTGCCAAAGAAGGGAAGGAGAACTTCGGCAGTACCCATTCACTTCCCTCATCAGCTATGAGCAACGCTACTGCGTTTTTATACTTAGTGAAAAGCTAAAGAACAGGAGTTGCAACGTTGGGAGCTTATTGTTTGTTGTGGCTATGGAAGCGTTCCGCAAACTTCGGTTTAATGACGTGTGCATAACCACCAGCCCAGAAGGAACGCAAGCCCATTTAGGCTTTTCTAGTAAGACGAAACATATACAGCGAACTCCAAAGTAAGTAGCAAAGAACTCGAATGTCTTTAGAACCTGCCAAAAGCTTACTTAAAGGGGAAGAAGTGAAAATGTGAAAGAACTTGCGTGTATGAACAGGTAGACTATTAACAGTATTCGCGTATTATAACTACTAGTGTTCGGGAGAATACTCAGCGGAGAAATGTGTGATAGATGATTTCAGTTCCCGCCACGTTATTCGGTCTTTCCGGCAACTGAATTCAAGAGAAAATACGACCAGACCAAGTGAAAAGTTATGATCCGAGTAGGGAAGTATGATTGCACCAGTGATAACGATTTCAACGGTCATGAGAAAAAGAGGGAAAAACAAAAACAAATACGAGCAGCAAAGCTATCAGCGTCAAATAATGAAGCTGAGCAACATGGCAATAACCGGTTAACTCGATGTTTCGGCAAAGACGTACGACGCACATCATCCGGTGGGCATAAGAAAAACAATCTAATCCACAAGTAAGGTACGAATAAAACGAGCGGTTAAATGTAACACCAGAGAGATTGTTGCAGGAGAGCAGCTGGCAAAACTAACACTACACATTCAGTGCTGTCATAGCAACATGTCGGAGCTGCGGACAATCGGATGGCAAGTTTACCCACTGTCTCAACAAATAGCAGCCTTAACTCTGAACACAGTGGAGCAACGTTAACAGTGCATTAAGCTTTTAAGCGATAAACAAAAATGCCGTTTGTGAGTATGACTGTAATACTGAAGTTGAGCATCCCCTTTAGGTGTACGACAAGAGTTTGACCACCAGACGATACCGCTGTATTACCAAAGCAAAAATTTGTCCCTTAAGTTGCAGCAATACCAAGTAATCGGAAGGCGAGCAATATGCTGGAGTATGCAGAACTAGGGGGTCGAAATCTCCAAACAGAGCTATGTCGATTGCATAATCCAAGGTGATCGGTCAGACAGTTAGCAAGAGTATTACAAAAGGAATGGAAACACATTTCAGCTGACTTGCCGAACTACCTTCTCGTGGTGCCAGTAGGGTGTACCCCGTTCCAGCAAAGTGTTCGGCGACAATGTTCCACTTCCGTGGGGCATTGTATTCCAGCAGGTGTGCTAATTTCATGGGGAGTATTGGGCCACTGTTTGGTAATCTACCAAACAAAGACGCATGAACTGAACATTCAGTCAGCGCCTCCCAATGGCCGCGATTCCTTAAATTCGCCCCGCTGTCTTACGGGTAGGTTATTTAGCCAAAGGCTCGGGGTGGAGTCCCCTAAGTCAACTACCTAATTCGGCTGGGGCAACCGGACTGGGCAACCATGGACTGTATTACAACGCGCCCATCAGGTACCATTTCTGCTACTCACATTCAGGCGACTTCATCACACGCCAATTGTTCGTTTGCTAACAATCCTCACTTTCGATTACCCGATTCATCTGTTCAACAATCTGGCTGCGATTCCGGTTGCTCCACAGATCAAGGAGTTCAACCTATGGCTCTCCTTCGTGTCCGATCCTCGTTCCGTCTGGCGTGCTTCAACGTTCAGACACTCATGCAGACTGGACAGCAAGCCGGTCTAGCGCATACCCTAGAGTCCTTAAACATTGATGTCTGCTGCCTTTCAGAAACCCGGTTGCAAGATCCCAGCACTGTGCTTACACTGACATCCCCCAGTGACCACGAAGCCAGATATCACCTGCGTCTTTCTGGAGATCCAGAAGCTGGTGTAGTTATAGCACTAAGTGGCAAGACCAACGTGGCACTACTGGACTGGTTCCCGAGTAACAGCCCATTATGTGCAGTTCGGCTTCGGGGTTCATGTAGAATCAACAAGCGCCGCGAAGAGAAACGCAACCTTTTTGTGATCGCCGTGTACGCCCCAACTAACTGCAGGACGAATTCTACCGAGATCTACATCACTTGACTAATGCTAAAAAATCGGATGTCGCTTTCCTTGCTGGGGATTTTAATGCACGGGTTGGCCGCCTGTTACCATAATAAAGTCATCACGTGCTCGATGAGGACCGCTCTGATAACGGAGAACGGCTTCTCGCATTGTGCGAAGACAACCATCGGTTTCTCGCTAGCACTAACTTCAGGCGTACGAAGAAGAGTTCCGGAACGTGGCGTCCCCTTACGCCAACACACCGATGGTCTCAAATTGATCACATTGCAATTAGCTTCAGATGGCGCGGCAGCGTACTGGACTGCACGTCCTTTTGGTCCACCTTCGTTGACGCAGATCATGCGCTGGCCTGCGCGAAAATCTGCTTGTGTTTTCAGGGGTCCCGAAACACGAACCACCGCAAGATTGATGTAAACAGATTAACTGATTCCGCTGTCCAGGAGAGCTATCAGTCTTCACTGGCATATGCACTCAGTTGCAATCCACCGCAAGAAGTGGAACAACACTGGACTTGTATACGGAAAGCGATGACCATTTCCGGACAGTCAAGCTGCGGCCCAACTCAACGCCCCTGAAAGCGTTGGATCTCTGTTCGTTTTCTGGAGCTGTTCGAAGGCCGCAAAGATATCCCCGCGGAATCAGATTGCAACGAGCGCCGCCGTTCGTTCCAACCGGCTGCTCAAGCAAAGCCTACGCAAGGATCGCAAGGCATGGTGGTCTGAGCGTGCTTTAGTGATGCAGACCGTTGTAATCTCTGGCAACACTTGCAGGCTTTTCCAACTCATTCGGTCCACTGACCTCAGGAGGCCTGGTGTCAATGAGGTTATTTGTGAGATGGATGAGTCTCGATTACCAACCAACAGAGGCGTATGGACCGCTGGGCCGAGCACTTTCACTCGCAGTTCAACTGACCTCACCATCCATCAGTACATGCAGTACATCTTGTAGTCCACTCTGGCTCGTCCCCCTGAATCCAGCCAGCGAAGCAGAAGTCTGCCTCGAGATTCGAGGCTTGAAGCGGTTCAAGGCTGCCAGCTCGGACGGACTTCCTCCGGAGTTGTTCAAGTACGGCAGTGTGGCGATCAGTAACCAGCTGACCGCGTTGTTCACAAAAATCTGGCATGAAGAGAAAGTGCTTTCCTCTTTGGGCGAATCAGTTGTCCCAATTTTCAAGAAAGGCGCTCGTACTTCATGTGTAAATCATCGCGGGATTAGTCTTATTTCGGTTGCCTCTAAGCTATTGGCGTCCATTCTGCTTCGCAGACTATCCCCAGTACATAAATCATACTACCGTGAAGAACAAGCTGGTTTCCGTCCTGGCCACGGATGCATGGATCAAATCTTCACGCTTCGCCAGCTCCTCGAACATCGCCATCTTTATCACAGGCCCACTATCGTTGCATTCCTAGACATACGTGCCGCTTTTGACTCCGTTGATCGACTTGCTTTATGGCGTTGCTTGCTAAAGAACGGGGTGCCAGAGAAATATACTGCCATCTGACGAGCACTTCACCTTCATACATACGGCAGAATGAGGGTCTATGGTAAACTTTCCTCGCAATTCGCTGTCAATAACGGTGTGCAACAAGGCTGCCATATGTCCCCATTCCTCTTAAATTTCGCAATTGAAGACGTTCTGTCGAATGCACGAGAAGGTTTCCAACATTTTGGCCTAGAGCTTCTACCGGGTGAGCGCGCGACCGACTTAGATTATGCTGATGATATCGCCTTACTTGGTGACGATCCTCAGGGGATGCAACTCATTCTGGATCGTTTGGCGGTTGAAGCATCTAAGTATGGCATGAGCTTCGCCCCATCGAAGTGTAAAGTACTGCTCAAGGATTGGCTTTCACCTGCTCCCGTGCTCACTCTCGAAGGTGCACAACATGAACAGGTAGAGTTTCGTCTACCTTGGGAGCTGTGTTTCTGCTGACGGCATTATTAACAAAAACGTTTCTCTTCGCATCGCTAAAGCTCGATCAGCATTTGTCAATCTGAGGCAATTATGCCGTCGTCGCGACGTCTCATTCTTGGTAAAGAGCCGCGTTTACAGCGTCAGTTCGCTCAGTTTTGTTGTATGGGTGCGAGTCCTGGCCGATTCGCGTTGAAGACATACGTCGTCTTTCTGCCTTCGATAACGGTTGCTTAAGGAGGATTGCTCGTGTTTGGTGGCAACATCGAGTTAATAGTAATGATGTTCGACGTCGC